CCCCAAAACCCCAAAACCCCAAAACCCCAAAACCCCAAAACCCCATACCACCAACCAAATATTGAACCTTTTTATTTTGAAAGATCTGAATTAATATGTCCCTTACATTTTTGATAATTCAAAAAGTTTTGATGTTGTTGAAGAATAGGAAATCATTGGGCTTGGAGTCACCGAAATACTCTTTGCCTTGCATGGAACTTTAGAATATTCTCTCCTCCATTTGTCATCAATAGCTGTAAGGTAGTAAGTGCCAGGGACGAGCTCGTCTATTGGTCCGGTTGGAGTATAAGCAGCATGCGAACCATAATGAGCTTCACGCTCAGCCATCACTTCTTCATAAAACTCTGGAGACTTTTTAATTCTGTTCTCCAGACGTTCATGATAATCTGATTTAGCGATGATGTCAGTATAATCGGCTTTACCCCTAATGGTGAACATTGAAGAAGCGCATCCAGAACCATAGCTGAATAACAAAACTCTTTTATCAGTGAGGTCAACATTTGGATCTCAGATGAGAGACATGAGACAGAAGTAGAGGGATCCAGTATAGCTGTTACCACAGTTCCTTCCTAGATGAAGACTCATGTCAGTTTTCTCTTTCCACAACCCTTGGCTCTCCTTGGTCACCATTTTATTGATTTCTTTATTTTTGAGACCTCCCTTTGTCTCCTCCATTTTAGAAACTAGTTCAGGGCTTGGTGTTAGAATTCCTCGATTGAGATCCTCCCAATATAATTGAGTAAAGGATTTCTGGACTAGCTTAGAATATGGAGAGTGGAAACAGAAGTAGTCAGTGTCTCTTAAGGAGATGTCCTCCTTTCCAGCAGCAAGAGATTTTGATTTTATGCCAGCATAGCACTTTGATAATGCATTAATGTAAGTGTTTTGAGAAAGAACTCCATCTACAGTTGGATACTCTGAGTTAGGATCAGGTTTGTAGAAATCATATTGGTTGTCAAAGAAGGAAGACCTAATGCTTGTTTCAATTACCAGTGGAGCGTTTTCTCCGATGAGTATAGCTACAGCTCCAGCACCTCCAGTAGCTCTGGCTGGGCCCTTTGCATATACAGCAAGATCAGCAGCGATGACGACACCGTATCTACCATCCCAAGCACTACTCTCCATCCAATTGAGAGTGTTAAAGAGCGCATTAGTACCTCCATAGCAAGCATTGACAGTTGTGACTCCTTCTATGTCATAATTTCCGGCATTTTTGAAGAGCTCCATAAGGCAAGTTTTGGTACTCTTTGATTTATCAATCAAAGTTTCAGTTCCAACTTCGAGTCTTCCAATGTCCTTCCAGTCAATACCGTAGTTATTCACCAGATTTGAAAGGACTGTCATGGCTATAGAATTGATGTCCTCTCTGTCTGAGGAGAATGCCATTTTGTGCTGACCAAGGCCGACGGTATGCTTGCCTTTACCAACGCCATAGGCTACCTCTAACTCTTCTTGGTCTACATAAGTATTTGGGAAGTAGACCTCCATCCCACAAATTCCAATATCAGTCATTTAATTTTTATTAATTATTCATTGGCTTTACATTATCTGGGGTTTTGGGGTTTTGGGGTTTTGGGGTTTTGGGGTTTTGGGG